AGATACTTTGTCGTGATTATGGGTAATGTTGACCCTGATAGTTCAAACTCTAATTCATTTTCACAAGCATAATTTCGTATAATTGAAACAGGTTCACCAATATTTAATTTGTTTTTTATGAACTGACCAAAGCTTTATCATTATCTGATTATTGATCAATACAAAAATAAGTAAACACTCATCAGTGCTACTTAGTTTATCTTGTCAATTTTGCTAATGTTTTCAATACAAATTGAATTGACAACAAAGAGTAGTAACAAATTTGTATTGAAGTTATATATCAATATGTCAATCACATGGGGGAATCAAATATTGTTTACATCCTGCATTGACAGCCAAAGCCACGATATCATCTGGTCAGTGGCCATGGTGGTGGCACTAAAGTCAAACTGATTGTGTATCTTCTGTATTGACAATACAGTGACAATCTCCTCTTGCATTGGTATTAAAGTTTGTGCATGTCCTTGGCCAACAGAAAGCAATAACCTCATCATGTGGGGGTATTAAAGAACAGGGAGCCACAACTTAAGTTTGTGTATGTCCTTATCAACAAGAAAGCAACAACCTTATCAGGTGGTGGCATTAAAGTTTGAGTTTGTCCTGTATATGAACAAGAAAGTGCCACAATCTCATCTGATGGTGACATTCAAGTTTATGTACATCCTGTATCAACAAAAAAGTGCCACTATCTCATCTGATGGTGACATTCAAGTTTATGTACATTCTGTATCAACAAAAAAGTGCCACAATCTCATCTGATGGTGACATTCAAGTTTATATACATTCTGTATCAACAAAAAAGTGCCACAATCTCATATGATGGTGACATTCAAGTTTATGTACATCCTGTATCAACAAAAAAGTGCCACAATCTCATCTGATGGTGACATTCAAGTTTATGTACATCCTGTATCAACAAAAAAGTGCCACAATCTCATCTGATGGTGATATTCAAGTTTATGTACATTCTGTATCAACAAAAAAGTGCCACAATCTCATCTGATGGTGACATTCAAGTTTATGTACATCCTGTATCAACAAAAAAGTGCCACAATCTCATCTGATGGTGACATTCAAGTTTATGTACATCCTGTATCAACAAAAAAGTGCCACAATCTCATCTGATGGTGATATTCAAGTTTATGGATATCCTGCATTAACATGAAAGTAACAACTGATTGATATAAGTCCAAAATATGTTAATCATCATGGCTCTCTGAATCAAACTCATTTCACCAGAATGAGAAATCTTTTTTATTTGGTATTTCAGTGCAGTCCTTGGATTTTAGTTATGCAGCAGAGAGGGACTGAAAAGCAATTATACACAACTGTTGTATTCAAATACTGCATTTGTGATAACCATTTTTATCTTATAATTATGATAGAAAATATGATGAGTGTGAAGATGTTTCATAATTTCTTAGATTAGAAAATATGAATCAACAAAGGACAATAACTCTACATATATAACAGACAGGACAGACCAACTGGTTCAACATGTAATGATACAATAGTGTAATAAAAAATTGTAAAATTTACATAATAATTTATAATCAGATATGAATTTCTTGTTAAGTAAGACAACAAAGTTTAAACTTTTTTACCTTGTCTGCTGTACTCTATGTTTTAAACTGGAAACTTAGTATTATATGATGTGAAAGTTAAGTATATTTTCATGTTTAATAGGAGATACTGATAATATTATGGTTTAAGACAAGTAATGTCTGTGAGACAATTATTGGACATTAACAAGTGTACATAAATAATCATTAAATATTAAGGTGAAACTGATCAATCAAGATATTTCCATTTTGACCAGCATAGTACAATCATCTCAAAGAAATGAAGAAAAACTAGCTGCTGGCAGTGTATGAACAGATTCATATATAATTTGTACTTTGAAAAAAAAAAGAGAGAGAAAAAGTAACTTGCATAAAATATCATGAGATTATTTGATAGGTTAAAAATAGGACGTTGAATTTAGAATATAGACAGGACAAGCAACAGAAGAATGTAGTCTTTCAGCACACCATATGTGTGTCTTGTACACAGGGCTGCCTTCTGTGTAGTGAACAGGAGTTTATCATAACGGCTGATGTGTTTATATTATTATAGACAAATACACATTCAGCATTGCCTGCAGACACTTTTCCTTTGCCCTCAAGCTCCACTTCATAAATTATTTGGCGTCCTTTGAATGTAGAACTGATAAGTGGTCTCGTTTACAGGCAGAACTGATAGAAAAAATCATACCCTAATAAGTAAAAGAGACGTTTCAATTCTTAAGTCTTTATCACATTTAAAACAAACTATTTATGGTAAAGATATCAAAGACTGTATAGTCTTTTTCATCCTAACATGAAAGTGTTTCCATTGGTAAATTGGTGAAAGCTTCCCCAAGTACATATATGCACAAAATTAAATTCAACAATTTTGTTGCGATTGTAATCTGTAACCACAAGAGAAATATGGCTCGCAAATTTTAAGAAGTACAAAGATATTAATATTGTATGTAATTTTTTTAGTTCCCAACCATGTTTCTGTCGGCTACAAATACAAGTTGCTTTTAAAGACTGGAATCTCCATTTTCTGCATACTTGAAAATTATTTTAAATGTCTGCAAGCTTGAGATACTTTGCTCTGTTTTACTCATTACATGTACATGCATGTGGTATTTACATATATGTAGAATTGTATATTCACAATTCTCATGCATATTATATATATTGTACCAGTATAATCATTAAATGCTCATCAGTCATCACTCTACACCTATCAACATGCTTACAGCAAATGGAACATTTGCATGATTTGACTTATTTTTCACAAATAGTTCAGTGGAGCTTGAGCAAATTTGCACATTACTGACACTATAACTATCCTAGCGTGATTCCCATCACAAATACTTCCCAAACAATTAAACTGCTGATTTTTTTCAATGATACAGTAACAACAAGAAACAGTATCTCCAGGACTAAAGTACAAAGCAGAAGAGATACAAGTCTTTCTTAATGTTTTGTTTCATTAGGTTAGTCACTTTGTGGATAGTCGGACATTTATGTATACCTTCTTTGTTACATGAGGTACACCACTTTGGGGCTTGTTGGACATCTACCCATTTTGTTTCATTTGGTCTGTCACTTTGTGGACAGTCAGACATCTAGCCATTTTGTTACACTAGATCACTGTGTAGATAACTGGACATTTCATCATTTTGTTACATGAAGTATGACACTTTGGGGATGGATGGACATCTTCCAAGTTTTGTTACATGTAAAAGGTTCATGATTGGACATCCAACAATCTTGCTACATGAGGTCTGCCACTTTCAGGTAACAAAGACTGATTAAACCCCTTTTGTTACAGGAGATCACTTTGTGAATAGTTGAACATAGTTATCATTATGTTAAATGAGGTCTGACACTTTGAGGATCATTAGACATACACCAATTTTATTACATGAGGTTTACCACTTTGGGATGGCCAGGCCTTGACAGCACATTATGCATGTTATTTATTGTGGATAGTCTGACAACTAGTCATTTTGTTACATGAGGTCTGCCACTATGTGGATCATGGCTGGACATCTACCCAATTCATTATGTAATTATAAGGTTACTGAGGATCATAACAGGACATTTACCAATTTTGTTACATAAGGTCACTGGGGATCATGGCTCTTGCTTCACATCCATCAAGTTTGTTACATGAAGTTACTTTAAGAGTCACAGCTGAATCTACCAGTTTTGTTATATGACTACTAAGGATCATGGCTAGACACCTTCCCAGTTTTATTCATATAACTTAACAAATCGTACAGTGTCTTCGATCTTCCACATGACTGGTATGCAACATTACATTACAACACTACAACATGTTTCTTTATTGTATACAAACAACAAACTTGCAATCATGACAGCTGCAACAGATAGAAATGTGCATTCCTGCACTGGAAATGTCTTTTATGAATTATAAGATTGTATATTCACCATACAATATTCTGTTAATAAATCACTGGTTTAATTCTTTAGTTCTAAACTTGTTAAATTAAATTATTATCAGCTCTCAGACTTTTATCATGATCATGACCCAATATATTTGAAATAACATAATATTCACATCCAATTAATAAATATAATATTCCATTCATATTCTTACTATGATCATGATCACAGAAGTACATTATTTTACACAAATAGATAGATATTGCATAGTCAAAACAATTGAAGGGAGATAAATCTTCCTAGGTCATGAGCATATGACTAACAATTTCAAGACTTGATGAGTGTATGTTCTATTGAAAAGGTTATAAATGGTGGGGTTAATGAAGATTTTTGGGAATAAAATCTAATGTTTTAAGTCCTTAAAGATAGTGATACAATATCTGTGATGTCTGCAGATACCACCCAATAGTACTAGAAATTTAAAATAAAACTAGGTCTTCTTTTCTATGTTTCTTCTCTTCACTGTTTACAAATTATCTATTATCATTATCTTCTTACTCTCTCATTTTAAAAATATCTAAATATTATCATTATTTGTTATCTAACATGATGTGAATATAAGGCTTAAATCCATTTATATACTTTTATAAATGCCCTAATATTTATCTTTATATTGTAGTTCAAATGTAAACTACCAATTGGAATGTTTATACTATAATAGAAAAGGAAAGAAAGAGACATCATACTGTTTAAGCACAAAATGGAAGTTAGATTGTTTTCCTATATATATATAAAAAAAATATACTTTCAACATATAACATTTTGAGTACTAATATTGCTCTTCCTTTCAAGGCGAAATTTACCATTGCATCCTTTTGTTTACTTACGAAGGCATTCATTTTTCAAAAAATACTGTAATACAGTTTATTGTACACTATAACATAAGCTTATGATGCTATGATCGCAACAATACAATCACATGTTAATTATACGTACATATCAATGTTATTTACGGGATGATACATCGACAGTTGCTTGGTTACACGCCAAACCTACCTGAGTCTTCCTCATCAATCTTGAGTGCTTTTGAGATGTACTCGAATGCTTTCCTGTGGTGATGTTTCTGTGTGGCCAGGGCCGGGGCCGCGGGTCCCACACTCACTTTGGCAGCCCCCGACATGCCTTCCTCTGCTTCAGATTGGCATTTGTATTTTCCCTTTTGGTTCGGTAGACATGCCGAAGGCAGGATGGCTTTCGATCTCCCAACCAGAATCTCCAAAACCACCCACAACTGATAGGCAATAATTCGAAGGATAGCAAATATGAATAAAAGTGGAGCTGCTACAATGTAAACGTTTCTGCTGTGAAATGTTGGTCGATCTCTTGGCGGTCCCTTTCCCCTATCTCCTCTTTTTCTACCCCAAAACCTTCCATTTCCCCTCCGATGCATCGTATGCCGCCATAGTTTTATTGACAATCATAGAATTATGGGATATTAGGGAAACCACCCTGACGTCATCATCGGAATTCCCTTTTCGGGTTATTTGATTGGTTAATATATTTCACTACTATACTATACAGAGATAAGAGGTGACGCTCCAGACAAATAAATTGCGGGAAGTGAAGTGTGACAAGCCAGAGGTACAATTGGAGTTAGCGTGGCGTGTTGAGCAGAAGACACCCACTTTTCGATGGCTGGATCGGGCAAACATTTTCCTCTGGTAGGAAACAGAGAAGATCGACAACATTTAAGATCACTTCAAGATTTGTGTAGAACTAAAATTCTCAGTTGTTTTTCACTGCGGAGAGTTCAACAAGTTGCCAGATTGCCTTTACCCGGTGTCATCAAACAGTATTTGTTGACATTCCGCATTCCGATGGACTTTGACCTAGATGGAATTTACATGGATTACAATTTCAACTTTCCCAATCACGTACATCATCAGACACATCAGATTCACCCAGGAAAGTGTCTGTTTGATGGAACAAAAATTTTGATGAGAACTCAACATATGTACGATACATGTAAAATTTGCCAGTCAACAGGTCACCGAACAATGCTCCACGAGAACGAGCGGGAAAAGTGGGTGTGGCTACGTCACGATAATTTACTAAACTGTCACATCACTATGTACAACCCACAATCACAGATGATGTCATATGTTTTTGACTTTCCTCTCATCAACTTGGAAGATTTTGCCGTTCGAATGTATGTATTCAATAAAAGGATACCGGAACATCTAGTTTGGGAAGTATTGTTTAAGTTGACCGATGTTTTAAGTTATCTAGAACAAAATGACATTTACCCGTGGGAACTTTGTCATCCCCAGCACGTTGTGATAGGCGAGAAGGGATGTATAAAGCTGGAACACATGTTACTCTATCTACCTTTAAAAAGTGGGGCACATTTCAACACCGACTCGCCTAATGCCTTATCAGCGTACACGTCGCCAGAGCAATTGAGGGGAGGTCAACTCAAGGGACCCCAGACGTTAATATGGGGGTTGGGTTGCATCCTGCGTGAGCTCACTGCACACATTCCTTCTGCTTTGTTGTCCAAGTTAGAAACGCATTACAAAAATTTCCCGCCAATTATCACTGCCTCCAACATCACAGGTGGCTGTTCAAACAGTCATAATATCAGCAAGTCTTCTTCGGGAGATCGATATTCAGTCGCTCTACAGAACACTATTGCTGACTGTCTCCTACCTATCTCAGGAAAATCTCCAACGTTGAAAATGCTAAGAAACCGTGCGAAAGTTTCTCTGAATAAAAGTTGGAAACAAGCTTCGGCTGCTGATGGTGCCAAATCGTTTCTGGACCTACTGCGAGAATGTGACGAACTGTGACCTCTTATCGCGGGACCAGTGACCCGTAGACCAGATTGAACCGTTCCGGCTGGTACAGTAGCAGGTATTACGTGATATCAAAGGAGGAGAAATTACTGTGTGGTGATATGGTTTATTTCAAGTCTGTAGAATGAGTATCATTGCCAGTTTACACAATCTTGTGCAGTGGTCTACTGTTTACCGTAATTAAAGGTACGCCAGCTGGCTTTCTATTTCCTTATTTTTAATGGTATATAATGTGCAAAAGATTGTAAAGTTATCTTTATTTTTTATATATTTAGCCCAAAGAGATCGAATAAATGTACTTTTTGCTAGGATGTCTGACCTATTAAACTTATTTGATTTGCAAATTCTAAAAATATATAATTATGGGTGTATGAAGTCCTATGCCATGGCTTATATTCCACTTTGTGCTGTGAAACCAACACCGACTATGTGTGGATATCAGAAAACACAATCGAATGAATATCGATGCCAAAATTCTAATCTACTTTTTTTTTCGGTAAAAGAAACAAGACATTTGCACACATCGGAGGAGTTCCATCGATACAAGCACACTTGGCCTCACTATTTTTTATTTACCTATACGTGTTTAACGGAAAGGTTGGTTATTTTAGACAGTTTTGCATTCTTTATTTTTATAAATATATTACTGTGACTTTAAAGTAAGTTTTTATTGTGTATCTTTATTCATCTTATTTATGCATCCAGAAATCATTGTTGATATGTCATGTGAACATTTATTTTTGATCATTGTGTTTTTCGGTGATGTATTTGAACTCACGTGTCTCAGAATAGATAAGGAGCAATTTGTTGCCAAACTAGTAGATTTTAGAATGTATTTTAATGGCGTTAAGAGAGGGTACAAAACTGCTATTGTCATTGAATTTTGTTGTATAATACTTTAATATTTCCAGTCGAAATGAAGAAAAAAATCTGCAAATTAAATTTTTATGGATCTCGTTAAAATATTCTATGAAATAATGATGCTGGTGTTGTGGAAATGTGTACACATAGATACTAGTTCCCAGAAGGCTGTATCCGTTGTACATATCGTAGCCGAGTCGGATATGTGTATACAAGTGTTTATGTACCCAGTCCCTGCGCTAGCCAGATGTGGAATTGTTCTTTCATTCCCGTCACGTAGTTTATCACACTACAAACCAGGACTGTGTCCGAACAATTTCAAAAATGGCAGGCACAGCCAATTTTCACTTAACTATGACCGTAGTCATGGAAATGACATTTCAAATAAACAATCGTGTTCTGCACAAAGGAAGAATATGTCTGATTAAGCTACAATATCTCTTAGTCTTATCCGTGGCATTATAACCCACGTGCGCACGATTTGGACGTCAGATTCCTGACCTAGTCTGCTAGTTATCGTGTTCATGTCAAGATTAATTCTACTCTTTCAGAAACAATGGAATACCTCCCTGTCATATTGGTGGAGGGATGTCAAATTTGTTTGCTCTCTTCCAATGCAAGTTGTCATTTTAGCATACGGTTCTACTGTTCAAGTCTATGTGGATTACAAGGTCGCTTTGACGGTCGAATTTGCTGTTAGAACTTTAATAAATAATCGTAGGATGATTCTCTCATTTAAATACGCGACGAAGCCGCCACAGTTAAACACTTGACCTTTGTATTCATCCGTTTCCGCTGATATTTTGATCCCCGCATCGTAACAGTATATTTTCACGACCGCGCCTTCTTTCGTAACCCGATAACGAGAATTTAATTATCACGCTGTGAACATGAGAAAACATCCAGCAGCTTTCCCGACCAATTATCAGTATATTAACTGTATGAGAGATGTCCAGATCAATAGCGTCGCCAGAGAATCCTTCCATACATGGGTGAAATAATGTCATTGTCCAACTTTAATTTGAGCACCATTTATCCTACAATGAAGTCATCAGCGAACACAATGACACATGCTGTAAATGGCTATCACTTCCATGTTAGATTTAGGGAAATTACACTTGCCTGTTTGTTTCACACAATCACGTGTACAACCAGCCGAAAAGTACATCTTCCTTTACACCAATAAAACATTCATGGTTGTCAGCGTATCTAACGCGTTCGCACGCGCGATTTCTGTTTGAAGTTGTGCGCCTAAATTCAAGTACTGCCGCAACGTATGAATAAAATATGCAACGGGGAGTGTGATGTCACATTCCACCTGGCTCGGGTTATGCATATCATCGGACGATAAACAATAAACTATTCGGCACGTGTATGTATCCGGTAATAAAGTGACCGGCTGTAATTACATCACTTTTGTACTTTCCACGTAACATGTACAGTTGAATTGACCACAGCACTCCCACGAACTTGATATATGACAGGTATATCTTTCAGCTGTGATTTAGGTGAGGATGTCTTCATTTTGCTGTTGATCATATTCCCCATCCTAATTAATCTTCATCAGATACCACCGGTTCACCCGCCGTTGGATTTTCCATTTTTTCTTCGCAAAATAGATATATATTTTTGTACGCTCATTGATCAATATTTATAAATATATGCACTTATTTTACATGTATTCAACTCTCTAGAGTGAAATATTTTATAACCTTTTTTGATACTTTCTGCTGCGCAGATCAATTGATATATGTTTCGGTAATTTTTTATAACAAATTGTGGTGCTAAAATGTTTCATTTTATTCAATTTTCAATACAGGTACATTATTGTCAGCGTCATTATGATACTGAATTGTGAATGTAATTCTCCAGTAAGTACTGTATGTAACCTTGAGCATTTTTATATGTTTCTTTAAAAGAAACTTACTGACACGTTAGGTCACCTACAATAAAACTGTCGGTTGCCCTACACATGTATCTTGGGCGCAGGTTATTCACATTCTTGTACTTAATTATGATGAAGAGTCAAGGCTACACTACACACGATATCAATCTCAATGTCATTCTCATCATGTATGTCAATATGCATTATTTGTAAATAAGGATTTATGTATAAATGCTAAAATTACTAAATAAATAGCACATATAAATACAATTGTAATAAGTATCTCCATTTTATTAATATGTATTTACAAGTATTGTGTGTATATTATTACTGGTGTATGTATAGCTATGGTGTGTGTAGGTGTGTGTGTTTACACGTGACGAGTGTATGTTGGTATTGTGAGACATATATCCTATGCACATATATGTATACGTATATTGTAAATATTAAAACATGACAGCCTTGTGCTGCTACTTGCTTCTCAAAATAGACTTCTACCATAATCATATTAAAATTTGTTTATATTTTAAAGGATGCTGGGAAGTGGTACACACGTGTAGTCCTCCATCCATGTAGTAGATACCAGCTTTCATATGGTTGTAGTAATGAATCTACTCACATTGTTATTATTGGTGCATGTTTCCCACTTTGTACTATATTTTCCTGTATATACAATTAGACTAGAAAGCAAGCATGAAGCTTCTATGCACAACACATCACACTGTCTTCCAGTTCCTTATATATACGATTGTCTTTATTTTTTCCTCACATTTTTTATGTAAATAAGACTCCTGCATCAATTTTTTTTCAGAGCTATATCATATAAGGATTTTTGTTGAGTTTTTCCTG